AATGTCCAGCATCATATTCTATAATATTTTTTAAAAAATAGATGGTAGTCGGATAAGGGGAACAACTGGCAGTTGCCAGTATTTTTATTCTTACAAGCAAGTATCTCAAATAAGAAAAGCTTAAAATACAAACAAAGTTCTGTGTATTAGCAGTGTCACCTGTAACCAATGAAAGGAGTCAATTTCACATGTATTGCGAAAAAACTGACTCAAAGTGCTTTCAAAACCATAACATCTTCCATGGCCGTGGTATGGAACTGATGCGAGTGTGTCCTCATCTCCCAAGTCCAAGTTGTTGACTACAAACCTATGCATACAAAAATCTATTGGAAATGTAAACATCAGTGTTACGGCCCTGGCCATATTTTGAATCAAGGTGTCTGGATATTGTTCTATATATGTGTTCTGTGCCTTTAAGTGTCTCTGCTGGTCCTATTTCTGATTGGAGAGCTGGCAGCTGCTGATTGGTTCCCATCATCAAGTGCCCCCTTTAAATACCCTATCTCTAGCAGTTGTTCCCTGGCAGCCACTGACAGCAGCAGCAGATTTGTCCTTGGCCTCCAAACCCTCACTGACAAATTTTCGTGTGTGCCTTCAGAGAACTGTTACATTTAGTATATAGTGTTGTAGATACTCTTTTCTTCTTTTAAATAAGCACTGAAGCAAAAGGGGGGAAACTGCCTTATCGTTTTCTGCACTTTTTCTCTCGGTTATCAAATTAGGGAGTTAAGGATTGCACTTGTGTTTTGTTTGATTATTGTTTCACGCAGGGCTTAGGTAGCACCTTTCTTATTGGAATAGCTTGTTTTGTTTATTATTTTAGCCTTTTTTCACCCCGGAGTTAATGCTTTCAGTTTTTGGTAGCAATAAAACCACCTTAAACAGCAAAATGGCTATCCCTTCTTTAAGTGATGACGTAAATGGTAAATGGCCTGTATTTGTATAGCGCTTTTACTAGTCCCGCCTAGGGATCCCAAGGCGCTTTACACACCCAGTCATCCATCCATTCACACACTGGTGGAGGCAAGCTACAGTTGGGGCAGACTGACAGAAGCGAGGCTGCCATATCACGCCATCGGCCCTTCTGGCCAACACCAGTAGGCGGTAGGTGAAGTGTCTTGTCCAAGGACACAACGACCGAGACTGTCCGAGCCGGGGCTCGAACCGGCAACCTTCCAATTATAAGGCAAACTCCCAACTCTTGAGCCACAATCGCCCCGTGATGCATTTTCCTTCCGGGTCCAAACTACTCTGCGTTTGACAAGGCTGTTGTCTTTTTAACAAATTTTAATGCTTTGTATCTTGTTCTATTTAATCTCCACAAGCCCTAAAAACAGTCAAACCGCTCTCGGTTTTTCTTACTGCTACTCATTTTAAGACTCAGTTTTTAAAACCTTAAGATGTAACTACAGCCCAGCCTGCAGCATTATATTAATGACTAACCTTGTATTGTGGATGGATTATCTCAGTTGTTCTCCTGACTGAAGCTTCGTCCATTTACAGCACCCTGCCATGTGATTGCATTTATCCCTAACCATCAGGACCCCTCACGTTAACTTTTATATAAAAAATTTCCAGTTCATCCTCCAGCTTCACTGTGTTTATTTTATGCTAACATAGCTGTGTCGCTAGTGATCATGTAGCACACATGTGTCAAACTCAAGGCCTGTGGGCCACATCTGGCCCGGCGTACATTTATATCCAGCTTGCGAGATAATTTTATATAGATTTATTATTATTGTTATGCATGGCCCGGCAATATGAGGTGCTAATAACACACAAATCATGCGTCAATCAAGTCAAACTTCTGTTATTGCGAAGCTAGCCCCTCACAATGGCGAAGAGAAAAGTTGATTCTGAAAACAGAGCCTTTCAGCACGGGTCGGAGACTGAATATATGTTTACAGACATTGCTGGTAAACCCTTGTGTCTTATTTGTGGAGCTAATGTGGCTGTAATTAAGAAATTTAATTTAAGATGGCACTATAAGACAAAACATCAGGATAAGCTGAAAAACCTAAATGCAGAGCAGCAACTACAGAAGGTAGAAGAACTAAATAAGAATCTAACATTTCAGCAGACCTTTTTCACCAGAGCAAAATCACAAAGTGAAGCTGTTTTGTGAAAGCAAGTTTTATTGCAGCAGATGAGATAGTGAAATCAGCTTAGTCATTTACAACTCTGAAGAGCTGCATGATGAAGGTGTGTGACGTCTTGTGTCCCGACAAAATGCAGATTTTGTCAAATGTGAGCCTGAGGAGAAATACGATTGCTGATAGGGTTTGTGAAATGGCCACTGATTTAAGAACACAATTGTGTGAAAGAAACAAAAACTTTATTGCATACTCTCTTGCTGTGGATGAAAGTACAGACATGATGGACATTGCCATCTTCATCGTTGGAGTGGAAATATTGGACATTAAATTGATGCATGGGTCAGCGACAGGAAAAGACATTTTTGAAAACGTATTTGACAAGTGTAACCGGCTTGAAACGGCCCTGGGACAAACTTGTTGGGCTTACAATAGATGGAGCGCCGGTGTTGTGCGGTTAAAAAAAAGTGGACTAGTCGGCAGGATGCGAGTAAAGATGCAGGAGGAGAACTGCGCCGGTGAGTTAACAGCATATCACTCACTGTATCATACACCAGGAAACGCTTCGCGATAAAGTCCTAAAAATGGAGCATGTAATGATCACCATAACGCTCTATTGGCTCTAACTCTATTGGCTCTATTGTGGCCATTTTTGGCCAATTGAAACCCATTATAACCACCTTTTTTGATTCCTTGTTATTGACAGTAGTAAATCATGCAATTTAGGTAAAACTGCTTTAATTCTAAACTTAACACATGAAAATTGTAGTTTTTAATGTTTTTTACCAAATTACATCATTTACCCATTTTTGGCCAAGCAAGCAATTTCATGTAATATTCCTAGTTTCTAGTAGCGGCCTTTGAATGCTTACCACACTCCAATGGACCAAAAGAATGAAACAATTTTGACATAAGTTTCATCTTAAGGATCTAATAGTTTGTGTTTGTGCATGACATTGCAGCACAAACATGTATTTGCAAGATAGACTGGAATAAATAATGACGCATCAAATATTACATAGGCTGCAGTAAATTTCTGTCGATGCAGGTTATTGAGCTTTGAGGTTCCCAGTCGAACTTAGCTTTGAAGCACATGCTAAAAGCAGTTTTACTCTTGTATTTTTCATAAAAAGATACCATACCCAAAATATTAACTCTCAAAAAAAGCAAAGCAAACAAAACCCAATCACAGTTCAAACCTGCAGCTGCAGCGCACACAACAACAAACACTGTTTGTAAACATGTCCTGGAGTTTATGCAGGTGCAGACAGTGCAACTGCTGTAAGTAATTTATTCTGGTAATATGGCAAGAAGGTCATCACTGCTTCAAGCACTGTCTATATGAGCTGGTCAAAGAGCAAGGACAGCAAGCAGTCCTCTGGCCTTGAAGAAAACACATCTGCCCAAGATGAAAAAACTTCCTCTCCAGAAGATGAGGGGACAATCTCCAAAGAGGCTGACTGCATCACCACTGATGGAGTGGATCCCTCATGAAAGGAAAACCATGTGTGTCCCACTACTGAGGAGAGACTGCTCTACAATCCAGTGCCCATGTTATGGCCCGTCTACACAGTGAAAAATGGAGTGTCAATATTTCAGAGTAAACCTATTTTAACCTAGATAGAGTATTTACAACTCTATGAGGAGTAAACCAGCTCTAACATCAGAGTTAAAAGTCAGTGTAAAGTTTGTTAGTCACGCAGTGAAGACTTAACTCCACACAGTGTTGATTATTACCAGCCCGCAGGCGTGTGCGGCCTCAGAGCTCTAATGCGCATGGAATTTTCTCCGAAGAGCTGCCACAGTCAGGTAAGTGAAATTAACATTTCCATACTGGTAACATTGTTTAAAAGGTATTTTTAAACTAAATAGCTCTTTATAGTTTCACTGATGTCGAGTGAGGACATGTTAGCATCATTTACCCATAGGTTTAATGACATTCCAGTAGCTACATGCTAGCAGTTGCTAAAAGTTCAGATGTTTGTTATCTTCTCACTGCGTTAATATGAACCTAAAACATTTTAACTATGTATTTCTTCTAAATGCTATCAAAATAATATCATTGTCACATGTCAAATCGCACAGTTTGAACAACTAAATTACCGTTTATCAGTAAGCTAATAATCGCTAATTAGCTTACATAAACGAACGTACTTTCAGAAAAAGTGGGTAACATTACCATAAAGTTAACTTTGCTGGTTTATATTATTTTAAGCAAATGCCAAAGGCATACACTACTTTAGAGTTTTGCTCATTATTTAGTAAGAAATATGTATTTTGTGTAAATTAACTGATAGCAAATCAAAAATGTAAGATATAAAGAAACATTTTTAACATTGTATTATTTTTAATTGTGATGTTTAATGCCAATTATTGAATTTATACATTAGGGCATCTCCCCCTAAAAGCGTAAGAGTGATGTATGCGCAGGGCATTGTTGCTCTGTCTCCATATCTGAAAGACCCATATTCACAACATGGATATGTAAGTAAAGGGAACTTTTCAACATTAAATACATAATTGCCCTCAGAAATGTTGATAACATAGTCCTTCTTCGTTTATTTAATTACATAGAAACATTACTACGATCCAGAGAGCGGTTCAGGATACATTGCATGGCGGTTGAAGACCATTCAAAGAAAAGCTGTGGAGGAAAGAAGCGTCTCAGTTTGCAAATCTCCCAAAAGTAAGTTCACTTATCATTTAAATGATACTGATGTAATTTGTAGGCAGGATTCAATCAAACACCTCTCTATGTTCTGTATTTTTGCATTACAGATAGAACAAGATTTCCGACTCCTGTTTTGTGAGGTCACTGCGAGCAAATTCTTGGAGAGGTGGCCCATCAATCTCAAAGCAAAGGTTGTAAAGGAAAGTCATGGACTTGTCCCCACCTCAGAGCTCTTGAGTTAATGTGCAATGCTGAGTCAGGTACTGAAGTTGAGAATGGTATGATTGTGACTGTTTTTATTTGCCATTGTTGGTTATATAGGTAATTCTGTCAATTTAATGTATTTTTGGAATAATTCTTTGTTTATTCGTCTGTAGGCTGGGACAGTGACTTGTCTACTATCTTGCTGCTGCTACATCTGCTACCACCATCTGCACAAGGGCGAAAGACACCAGGAAAGATGTCTGCATCTCAAGCTGTCAATAACCTCATCAAATTCCCAAAGGTATGTTGTTTAAAAGATACTTTCCATCACCTCTATTTTCATGGACAGTGAGTTGAGCTAATCTACTGTCAGACGATAGTCACTTAATACTGTTGTTTAATGTGTTGTTGTAGGCTGGAACCAGTGTACAGCAGCATCTAGACAACATCACCCGAAGCAGTCAGCCCTACCTTCTTACTCAGGGATCCACAAGAAGCAGCATTCACACCTTCATTGTGATTGAGAAG